GTTCCAGCACTGAGGTTCCAGTGAGGTCCGGTACGTTCCAACACTGAGGTTCCAGTGAGGTCCAGTACGTTCCAACACTGAGGTTCCAGTGAGGTCCGGTACGTTCCAACACTGAGGTTCCAGTGAGGTCCGGTAAAATTCCAACACTGAGGTTCCAGTGAGGTCCGGTACGTTCCAACACTGAGGTTCCAGTGAGGTCCGGTATGTTCCAACACTGAGGTTCCAGTGAGGTCCGGTACGTTCCAACACTGAGGTTCCAGTGAGGTCCAGTATGTTCCAACACTGAGGTTCCAGTGAGGTCCGGTACATTCCAACACTGAGGTTCCAGTGAGGTCCGGTACATTCCAACACTGAGGTTCCAGTGAGGTCCGGTACGTTCCAACACTGAGGTTCCAGTGAGGTCCGGTACGTTCCAACACTGAGGTTCCAGTGAGGTCCGGTACGTTCCAACACTGAGGTTCCAGTGAGGTCCGGTACGTTCCAACACTGAGGTTCCAGTGAGGTCCGGTACGTTCCAACACTGAGGTTCCAGTGAGGTCCGGTACATTCCAACACTGAGGTTCCAGTGAGGTCTGGTACGTTCCAACACTGAGGTTCCAGTGAGGTCCGGTATGTTCCAACACTGAGGTTCCAGTGAGGTCCGGTACGTTCCAACACTGAGGTTCCAGTGAGGTCCAGTACGTTCCAACACTGAGGTTCCAGTGAGGTCCGGTACGTTCCAACACTGAGGTTCCAGTGAGGTCCGGTACGTTCCAACACTGAGGTTCCAGTGAGGTCCGGTACGTTCCAACACTGAGGTTCCAGTGAGGTCCGGTACGTTCCAACACTGAGGTTCCAGTGAGGTCCGGTACATTCCAACACTGAGGTTCCAGTGAGGTCCGGTACGTTCCAACACTGAGGTTCCAGTGAGGTCCGGTACGTTCCAACACTGAGGTTCCAGTGAAGTCCGGTACGTTCCAACACTGAGGTTCCAGTGAGGTCCGGTACGTTCCAACACTGAGGTTCCAGTGAGGTCCCAGTACGTTCCAACACTGAGGTTCCAGTGAGGTCTGGTACGTTCCAACACTGAGGTTCCAGTGAGGTCCGGTACGTTCCAACACTGAGGTTCCAGTGAGGTCCGGTATGTTCCAACACTGAGGTCCAGTGAGGTCCGGTACGTTCCAACACTGAGGTTCCAGTGAGGTCCAGTACGTTCCAACACTGAGGTTCCAGTGAGGTCCGGTACGTTCCAACACTGAGGTTCCAGTGAGGTCCGGTACGTTCCAACACTGAGGTTCCAGTGAGGTCCGGTACGTTCCAACACTGAGGTTCCAGTGAGGTCCGGTACGTTCCAACACTGAGGTTCCAGTGAGGTCCGGTACATTCCAACACTGAGGTTCCAGTGAAGTCCGGTACGTTCCAACACTGAGGTTCCAGTGAGGTCCGGTACGTTCCAACACTGAGGTTCCAGTGAAGTCCGGTACGTTCCAACACTGAGGTTCCAGTGAGGTCCGGTACGTTCCAACACTGAGGTTCCAGTGAGGTCCAGTACGTTCCAACACTGAGGTTCCAGTGAGGTCCGGTACGTTCCAACACTGAGGTTCCAGTGAGGTCCGGTACGTTCCAACACTGAGGTTCCAGTGAGGTCCGGTACGTTCCAACACTGAGGTTCCAGTGAGGTCTGGTACGTTCCAGCACTGAGGTTCCAGTGAGGTCCGGTACGTTCCAACACTGAGGTTCCAGTGAGGTCCGGTACGTTCCAACACTGAGGTTCCAGTGAGGTCCGGTACGTTCCAACACTGAGGTTCCAGTGAGGTCCGGTACGTTCCAACACTGAGGTTCCAGTGAGGTCCGGTACGTTCCAACACTGAGGTTCCAGTGAGGTCCGGTACGTTCCAACACTGAGGTTCCAGTGAGGTCCGGTACGTTCCAACACTGAGGTTCCAGTGAGGTCCGGTACGTTCCAACACTGAGGTTCCAGTGAGGTCCGGTACGTTCCAACACTGAGGTTCCAGTGAGGTCCGGTACGTTCCAACACTGAGGTTCCAGTGAGGTCCGGTACGTTCCAACACTGAGGTTCCAGTGAGGTTTTTTTTATATTTGATAATTATAATGGTTATCTGAACCATTTATCTATACCTGGAGGGTGTTACGGGGGTCAACGTCCCGACGGCCCGGTCCGTGACCAGGCCTCCTGGTGGATCAGGGCTTGATTAACCAGGCTGTTACTACTGGATGCATGCAAACTAACATATATGAACCACAGCCTGCCTGATCAGGTACTGACTATACATGCCTTTCCAGTACCTTCTTGACAACAGCCAGCGGTTTACTGGTAATCCCCCTTATATGCTGGGAGGCAGTTGAACAGTCTTGGGCCCCTGACACTTATTGTGTTGTCTCTTAGCCTACTAGTGGCACTCCTGCTTTTCCTTAGGGGGGATGTTACATCTCCTGCCAAGTCTTCTATTTTCGTAGGGAGTGATTTTTGTGTACAAATCTGGGACTAGTCCATTTAAGATTTTCCAAGTGTAAATTATCATGTATCTTTCTCGCCTGTGTTCCAGGGAGTACAAATCAAAGGACTTCAACCGTTCCCAGTAATTTAGGAGTGTTATCATACTTATATATGCCGTCAAAGTTCTCTCTATATTCTACAATAATTATATTTCCCAGTTGACTTAAGTAAAATATTACCCCCAGAGGGGATAATATGTTACATATTAATGTGGTGTATGTGAGTGTGATAATATATTTTTATAATCTCATTTAACAAGTGATAGAGTTGTTAATAAACCTGGTTGTCATGGTTACCAGTTTTAAATCCCCATGAGTCTTCTGGTATTCATCCCCTCAAGGAAGGTTCCTTGATGTTGGTGAGGGGCTCTTGATTTAGGGAATTGGATCTGTGCTCCAGTTTCCCAAATTAAGCCTGAATGCCTTCCACATCCCCCCCCCAGGCGCTGTATAATCCTCTGGGTTTAGCGCTTCCCCCTTGATTATAATAATAAATTCTGGTATTCATGTGTGCACCTTGATGGTGTGTGTGTGTGTGTGTGTGTGTGTGTGTGTGTGTGTGTGTGTGTGTGTGTGTGTGTGTGTGCTCACCTATATGTGGTTGCAGGGGTCGATCCATAGCTCCTGGCCCCGCCTCTTCACTGGTCGATACTAATTCACTCTCTCCCTGCTCCATGATATTTGTCATACCTCTTCTTAAAGCTATTTATGGAACTTGCTTCCACTACTTCACTCTCCAGATTATTCCAGTTCCTGACAACTCTAAGACTAAAGAAATACTTCCTAACATCCCTATGACTCATCTGGATTTTCAGTTTCCAATTGTGTTCCCCTTGTTTCTGTGTGTGTGTGTGTGTGTGTGTACTCACCTATTTGTGGTTGCAGGGGTCGATTCATAGCTCCCGGCCCCGCCTCTTCGCTGATTGCTACTAGGTCCTCTCTCTCCCTGCCCTATGAGCTTTATCATACCTCGCCTTAAAACTATGTATGGTTCCCGCCTCCACTACGTCACTTTCTAGGCTATTCCACGGCTTGACTACTCTATGACTGAAGAAATACTTCCTAACATCCCTTTGATTCATCTGAGTCTTCAACTTCCAATTGTGACCTCTTGTGTCTGTGTCCCTTCTCTGGAACATCCCGTCTTTGTCCACCTTGTCTATTCCACGCAGTATTTTATATGTCGTTATCATGCCTCCCCTGACCCTCCTGTCCTCCAGGGGTCGTCAGGCCGATTTCCCTCAACCTTTCTTCGTAGGACAATCCCCTTAGCTCTGGGACTAGTCTTGTTGCAAACCTTTGCACTTTCTCTAATTTCTTGACGTGCTTGACTAGGTGTGGATTCCAAACTGGTGCTGCATACTCCAGTATGGGCCTGACGTAAATGGTATACAGAGTCTTAAACGAATCCTTACTGAGGTATCGGAACGCTATCCGTAGGTTTGCCAGGCGCCCGTATGCTGCAGCAGTTATCTGATTGATGTGCGCCTCAGGAGATATGCTCGGTATTATACTCACCCCCAGATGTTTTTCCTTGAGTGAGGTTTGCAGTCTTTGGCCATCTAAATTATATTGTGTCTGCGGTCTTCTTTGCCCTTCCCCAATCTTCATGACTTTGCATTTGGCAGGGTTAAATTCAAGGAGCCAGTTGCTGGACCAGGCTTGTAGCCTGTCCAGGTCTCTTTGTAGTCCTGCCTGATCCTCGTCCGATTTGATTCTTCTCATTAACTTCACATCATCTGCAAACAAGGACACTTCTGAGTCTATCCCTTCCGTTATGTCGTTATGAGTGTGTGTGTCCTCCCCACCACTGTTATATTATAACAGTGGTGGGGAGGACACACACACTGTTTATAACAAGCTTCTTTCATTGTTCGTCCCCTCAGGGAAGGTTCCTTGATGTTGGTGAGGGGCTCTTGATTTAGGGAATTGGATCTGTGCTCCAGTTCCCCAAATTAAGCCTGAATGCCTTCCACATCCCCCCCAGGCGCTGTATAATCCTGCGGGTTTAGCGGTTTCCCTTGCTTATAATAATAATAATAACAATAATAATCTTTCATTGTTCATAATAACAGTAACATTGTTATAGTTGTCAATACAAACTTCAGTTTAATTAAGTTCATTACCTACTGCTTTGTGGGTAAGCCGGTCATCAACCTTACATTATTATCAACATAGGAGAGCGCTAAACTCGGAGGGTTATACTGTACCTGGAAAATGAAAAGCAGTCAAATTTGATGTGATTCCTATGATCAAAAGCCTTTAAATAGCATTAAAGCAAATAGTAGTGAGGTTTTTTTAGCTTCTTGCTTCAAACTTGTGCCACTATGTGCTTCTTGCTCTGTATGAGCCTTGTGGGTTTAGAGTTTTTTTTATCGTATTAATAGTAATAATAGTTTTTGCCTTTTATTATTTTTTTTAAACTTGAGTAACATTTTGAAGTATTTTAAGCTGGAGTAGCAGGAGGTGAGGCTGACCACGACTCACATGTTGGTCAACCTTAATATCAACAATCAGTTGACAGGTACAAACCTTGTAATATATTTTCCAGCCTGAGGGAGGTCACATTAACTACCCGTGAGTCTCACATGAATGAAGTCTATGTGAAGCTGGTCTCTGCAAGTATTACTGCCAAATATAATGTTTTACATGGCTGTCAGAAGGTTGACTCGCTTCATGATCAGCTAACTTCAGGGACCCAATAGTAATGAGTCACTTTGACTTTTTTGGATTTCCTGGGTATATTGTGAATTGTGAATTCATTACCTCTGTAACTTGCTCAGCTATCAAAACTTTGGAGTCCAGTCCCTGGACCAATTATGTACCTCTGTAATCTTTTGACTACCGCCCACAGGATGGGTATGGGGTGCATAATAAACATATTAAACTAACTAACTAAACCTGGGTATTATACACATATGCTGCTATGTATGGTAATTTATGTAACTGTATTTATGTGTACCTGTACCTGAATAAACTTACTAAGTTGATTCAAAGACCCCACTGGAAATAAGTCACTTGACTTTGTTTTGGAGGGTTATCCTTGATAATTTACACTTTGTATGATAATTGTAATTATGTGTACCTGTACCTAAATAAATTTACTTATTTAATCATGGATAAATTTTCAGTATTTTTTCTGGAATGGTTCCCCTCAAGGAAAGTTCCTTGATGCTGGTGAGTGGCTCTTGATCTAGGGAACTGGATTTGTGCTCCAGTTCCTTGAATTAACGCTGAATACCTTCTATCCCCCCCACAGGCGCTGTATAATCCTATGGGTTTAGCGCTTCCCCCTTGATTATAATAATCTGGAGTGGTTGAAATTTTTTTTAAATAACTTGACTTATGAACTTGAATGTATCCCTTTCCCCCCCAGAGCTGTATGAATCCCCTATGGGTTTAGTGCTCCCCATGAAAGTAATAATTGTTTGCATATACACGAAAATAGGAGGAATTCCTGGGTAGATTTTTGCTTGGATTATTAACCCAGCAGGAGTTAGTAACCCAGGATTATTATTGAATTTAAGGGAAAAGGGTTAAACCTAGAGGGGTCATACAGCACCAAGGGAATGGGAGGAAATTAGGTTTGCTCCAAGGAAGGGGAGGATTTGTCCTACTTAGATGAAGAGCCTCTCACTTGTGTCAAGGATTCTCGCTAAGTTTATTTAGGTACCGGTGCATATAAATACAATTACACAAATTATCATACAAAGTAAAATACGTATATATAAATTACCCAAGATAACCCAAAACGTCAGAGAAAGTGACTTATTTTCATTGAGGGCAAGATAGCCTGGAACAATTTGAGGTGTTAATTTCCTTATAACATCACAGAGAGGATACAAACTACATGCATAGTACAGTATATATACAGGTAGAAGAGGAAACAGTTTGGTGAATGACATCACTGAAGTGTGATGAATTGTGTGTAAAGTACTGCAGGATATACACACAACTACTATGTTGAAGTGGTGTTTGAACACATCCAAACATTGTTCTTTGTGGAAGCACTTCTGGCAAGTGTTTTCTCTTAGCCATTTGGATCCACCTAGATTACTTTTGTGGGTCACATACAGTGGAAGAGGACTAAAGAGCCTCAATGAAAATGAGCTGCACTCCTTGGCTTTTTTGGGTTATCCTGGGTTAATAACCCTCTGGGGTTAAAAATTTAATGAAAGTCTTCACGTTCTTCCACTGCAATATATACAGTGCTTATGTCTTATGTGTGTGATATAAACATACTTTATTCCTTAGTGAAATATAGTTAATGTTTTGCATAATAACAGCAGTCTTGGTTATTTTTACAGTATGAAGGAAAGACTGATTTCCTTTGAATTTTTCATAGTCAAGAGAAGTGAGCAATGAATAGGTCAGCAATGAATAACCTTTATAGGTTTGATAACTGTAATCATAGATTCATAGGTAAGAATCAGGAATCAAGTTACCTAAATTTCTTGGGGTGATAGCATGACAGTTCATTCATTTTTATATTAATTAATTTTTTTAATACATTGGGGAAGCTTGTTCTCTCTAGATTTGTACTAGGCAGCAGAGTACATACTTGGGCTTTAATTTAGACTGATGTTCCAAAAGGTACCTGGAATTTTTTTCTCAGTAGAACTGTCTCATTTGTACACCAATGAAAATTGGAGAATGGTGTTATTAGCATGAACTGGGAGATCATACAGTTTTTTAGTAATAAAATGTAGACACAATTAACTTTTATATAATTTTTGTTGATCTAGTTTTCCTGTTAGTAAAATTCATAATTAATATTTTCTGCCAAGGAAATTATGTTGAAGGGTGATTACCATGAAACTGATGATTTTTTAATGTTCCTCAGTCATGTCTCGCCGTCGACCTTTGACAGCTGGGTCAGTCCGTTCAACTTCTGTTGTCGGAGCTCTCAAGGTTCGACCTGGCAGTCGTCCAGGCTCTGCACGTGAATGGTTTGAAGCGTATAATCAACGAAGAAATGAAGAAGCATGGAGGATGGAGGAATGGAAAAATACAGTGAATCTTTATAAAAAGAGGGAATGGCAAGCTCAATTTTACAATGTCATAGCTCAGCCACGGCAGAAAATGTAAGTAATAGATGCACTGATGAATGCAAAACTGTATATTACATGTTTTACTATAACATTCAAGAATATTTAAACTTCAGCCAATTATTTTCTTAGTCTGTAAGTATACTGTAATCTGATAACTATTTATATATACAGTGGTCCCTCATTTTTTGTAATTAATCTGTTCCTGGAGGAGCTACTATAAACGAAATTTACGATTTGCGAATCAATTTTCCCCATAAGAAATAATGTAAATACAATTAATCCGTTTCTGACGCTCAGAAGTATTAAAACAAAAAAATTTTTTACATGAAATATACATGTAGTACATAAACAATACAATGGGAAATGATGAATGAAACATTAACAGCATAACACTTACCTTTATTGGAGATTCTTAGTGTATGGGAGACTGGAGGAGGAGAGAGATTGGATTGTTTACAGTTTGAAAGGGGAATCCCCTTCCAGCAACACCTCAGGTACCAATTGCTTCTCTGGGTTGCTTCTCTTCTCTGTTTCTTAATGCCACTAGGACCACCTTGAGAGTCACTCTAGTCCTGTCTCGCAAAGTAACTGTGGAGAGAGCTCTGTTTCTGGCGTCTCTTTAACACTTCCCTAAAATGGCCCAAGACTTTGTCACTGTACATATTTCTCACCTTCTTTACCACAGGCTTGGCACTAGGAGCTTTCTTTGGAGCCATGGTAGATTATTTAGTACTTGCAAGCACTAAAATGAGTGGAATATTATGAAATATTTCGTAGGAGCACTTGGGGGGGACCTTCACTCACTGGTAAACAATGCCAGACTGGCTGGGTAGGGAGGCCGCCTTGGCTCACACCGTGCGTAAGCGTCCTGGATGAACTACTATTCGCGAGTCAACCTATGAAAAGCGAGTCCATGTTTATACGAAAATACCCCTATGATTGGCAAAATTTACAATTGCTGAGAACTACGAAAAGCGAGGGACCACTGTATTTTAATATACAGTGGACCCCCACTTAACGATCACCTCCAAATGCGACCAATTATGTAAGTGTATTTATGTAAGTGATTTTGTACGTGTATGTTTGGGGGTCTGAAATGGACTAATCTACTTCACAATATTCCTTATGGGAAAAAATTCGGTCAATACTGGCACCTGAACATACTACTGGAATGAAAAAAGTTCGTTAACCGGGGGTCCACTGTACTGTGTTTGTAATTAAGTGTAACTTTATTCAGCAACCCATGACATGCATACTGTTTTATATTTTCACTAATTATTGTCTGTAATATTCTAATAAGGTATTAATGAACATTTAATTCTAAATATGTAAGTTATTTTTGTAACTTGAAGGGAAATTTCCTTGCTTTCCCTAAAAGAGGCAGGAGTTCCTCACCTCTGTTAAATACACAGATAACTGTAGGAAGCGCATTTCAATAGAGTAGTGCATAGAAACAGAGCCATAGTTGCCTTAAAAGTCTTGGTGAATGTGATAAAGCTTACGAAATAATCATTTCATTCCTGCTGTATGGATCTAAAGCTTAAAGTGGGTGAATTTCAGGAGGAGGAATAAAAACAAGAGTAACACATTAGCATATACCTGCAAGTTTTCCCGGGGAACTAACAAGTTAGTTAGTTACCATTTTGTCCTAGGCACATGTCAATTAGACACTAGGCCTGAAGTATAAATGAGGCTGTGAAAAATGTCAGTTTAAGTCTTTGGAAAGCTGCCTGGAGTATACCTGGAGAGGGTTTTGGAGGTCAATGTTCCCTTGGCCCGGTCTGTAACCAGGCCTCGTGGTGGATCAGGGTGTGATCAACCAAGCTGTTACTGAGGCCGCATGCAAACTGACGTAGAACCAAAGCCTTGCTGGTCAGGTACTGACTTTAGGTGCCTGTCCAGTGCCTTCTTGAGGGCAGCCAGGGGTCTTTTGGTAATCCCCCTTATGTATGCTGGGAGGCAGTTGAACAGGCTTGAGCCCCTATCACTGTCTGACTTTTTTGGGTTATCCTAGGTTCTCTACACATATGCTGCTATGTATGATACTCTATGTAACTGTATTTGTGTACCCCTGAATAAACTTACTTGCTTAGTCTCTTAGT